CCCCTCGTTGCGTTCAGGTTCCTCCCGTAGAACCGTGTCCGCTCGCTGCGTTCAGGTTCCTCCAGTAGAACCGTGTCCCCTCGCTGCGTTCAGGTTCCTCCCGTAGAACCGTGTCCGCTCGCTGCGTTCAGGTTCCTCCAGTAGAACCGTGTCCCCTCGCTGCGTTCAGGTTCCTCCCGTAGAACCGTGTCCCCTCGCTGCGTTCAGGTTCCTCCCGTAGAACCATGGCGGTTACGCTCTGTCTTCTGTTCTTTGCAGGGTTCTTCTTCAGAGGGACTACAGTTTCCTGAGAGACATCAACATCTGGAATCCCTTCGTCATCACCGGGGTTTACTGCTCCACGCTGTCCGCCGCTATGAGCAATCTCATCGGAGCCTCTCGCATCCTCTACGCCCTGGCCAAGGATGACTTATTCGGTGGGTATGGCGACGGCGCTCTGCCGTCTCTTCTTCACGTTGGCGCAATTTTGGAGCCTCAGCATCAGAGCTGCGGTCTTCAGAGGGATAGTTGACGCCACCTGATCCGTCCCATCAGCTTATCATCAACCACATAACCATCCAGCTCGCCCTCCATTCCACTTTGTAAAAAAGACCCAAATTACGTTTTTCCCTCCCTAAAATAGTAAACATTGTTTTAGTGATTTCATAATAGAAATAAATTATTTTAATACCGTAACTGCGTTATTTATTGAATCCCTGATGTTTAATCAGGTTGTGCAAACGAGCTGATGGTGGATGGTGACTGGCCGTCAGGGGAAGTCGCTCTGCAGCAAAGCAAAGGCGCCGGAAGTGACGCACGGGCACGCCACCCGCTGCAGCAATCCCAGAAATCTGTGTAAATGTCACCTTATTAAAGCCAGTCTAAATATAAACACTGTTAGACATGTACAGCCGCTGGCCACTTTATTAGGTACAGTATGAAGGTTTGCACTCCATCAACTATCAAAGGTCTTAATGGTCACCATGACAACACAGCCTCCTTCAAGATTGATTCAAAGTTTTCTATCTAAGGAAAACCAGCTGATTGCATCGACTCATTGACTCTTCAGCAATCCCTCACACTAAGCATGCTTGTAGTGACAGTGGAGAGGAAAAACTCCCTTTGAACAGGAAGAAACCTCCAGCAGAACCAGGCTCAGTGTGAGCGGCCATCTGCTGAGGCCCACTGGGGTTCAAGGAGACAGAAGCAGACATAGAAAAAGAAGCATAGATACAAAAGGCAACTGTCAACCAGCTCCACAGGCGGCCCCGTCCAGGAAACACACAGCCAGGCAGACGAGCTCCGAGCCAGCTCCCATGTCAGAGGATGAAGAGAGCACATCCAGTTAGTCACAGTCAGAGAAACAGGACTACACTGGAAAACAGGCTGAGCTCCTTAGAGGAGACTTTGCTGATTTATCAGTCTGTCCATTTTTCTTTGAATCATTCATTAATAATCTGATAGAAATTGAGTCTTTAATCAGATTTAATCCAGAACTAAAGCAGGTGAAGGTTCGATGACTGATGCAGTTTCACAAAAACTATCAATAAATGCTTTACTTCTTTTTTTCTAGCAATAGAAAGTTTTTAAACCCGATCAGTTTGTCTCCGTTTTATTGAGGATGTCCAGTTTTAGCCTTTATACACAATGATAATAATTTTTAGTGTTTTTATTTCTATATCTGAGTTTCTTATTTTGTCTGTTTTTGTTCCAGATGTTGAAATAAACTCAGTCAGTGTTTTTATTATCAGTAAATCCTGCAGCTTCTGTTAGATCAATAATCAGAAAAATGTTGCTGATAACTGAAATTTATTCTTTTCTGAACGTTGCTGCAGGTTTGACTCATTTCTAACTTGTTTTTTTTCTCCTGACCTCCTCCTGACCTCCTCCTGACCTCCTGCTGACCTCCTCCTGACCTCCTCCTGACCTCCTCCTGACCTCCTGCTGTCCTCCTGCTGACCTCCTCCTGACCTCCTCCTGACCTCCTCCTGACCTCCTGCTGTCCTCCTGCTGTCCTCCTCCTGACCTCCTGCTGTCTCTGCAGGTACGGTTCTGTCTCTGGCTAAGAAGACGTCCCACAGCGGGAACCCCTGGGTCTCTGTGCTCATGTCCTGGTTCTTGGTGCAGGTCAGTAGAAAGGCAGATGGTCCTCTCTGAAATACCTGTGATGATGATGATGATGATGATGATGATGATGATGATGATGAAGGTGATGATGATGATGTTGATTATGAAGATGATGATGATGGTGATGATGAGGATTATGATGATGATGGAGGTGATGATGATGATGATGATGAAGGTGATGATGATGAAGGTGATGATGATGATGATGATGAAGGTGATGATGATGATGATGGTGATGATGATGATGATGAAGGTGATGATGAAGGTGGTGCTGTTCTCCAGTTGTTTAGTAGTGATGTCTGATTTTTAGCCAAATTATCGTCGTTCTTTTTTAATCCTATCGAGCCGATATGAACCGATATTTTCTTCTGGAGGGCGGATCAGTCATGTGATGCAGCAAAGGATTGTGGGTCTGAATATGAGAATCAGTGGGTTGATTATTTAATGATAGTGGGGATGATGGGGGTAAATACCCAGTGAGCAGTGGACCGGGACTCAAACCAGCAACCCACTGGTTACAGCACAGCCCCCCCCTCCCTGAGCCAGATCTGGAGTCTCCTCTCTTCATCTCATGTCTGGAACGCCAGCAGGAAGGTTTCCTGCCGGGAAATGTTCTCCTCTGGGATCGTTGCTCCAAACTTTAAACCTCGGTCACCTTGAACTCCATTGTCACACAAACTTGCCCCCCACTTCCTCTCCGCCTCGGCCGTATCCAGACCCACAGCTAGTTCCTGATTGGCCCTCTGGCGTCGTGGCGTGGAATAACAGCGCAGACCACGCTTCAACATTGGGCAGAAATCAAACATACCTGCATCACGCTGCTGGGGGGGGGGGGGTGCAGATCAGCAGGTTTCAGGGTTTGCAGACGGCTGGTTGGTTTCAGTGGCTTCAGCCTTCTGACCATGAAGTTAACCCTTAGCCTGCCTAACGACACGCTGGACTCCAGTTTTATTGGTTTATCCAATAGATTCCAGGGTTTCAGTCTGATGATGTTGGAATAAGCGGCCTGCCTTGAATCCTGTTCCTGTAAGATGGCGTCTGACGCTGACCGGAGAGGAAAACTGTTCAAACTGAGATTTATTCTTCAACTAATCTGCAGGACAGCAACATTTAAGCAGCTTTAGACTTTAAGGTATTTTCCTGAAGTTGGTTAAACAGAGATAATAAAGAGCATAAAAATAAAGCTGAGCTTTGAAGGCGCAGAGATCAGAGAGAAAATGAGGCTTCAAACAGGCGGCTGTTATTTCTGCTAATAAATGAAAGGCAGGCAGGACGGCGAGAGAAAATCAGCCTCATTTCCTGTTTGTGGTGTGAAAAAGGTTTTTGTCAGGAGAGATCAGAGGGATGCTTTTTACTCTGATTACTCACCAACTATCAGCAGCAGTTTATTTCTTGGGTTTAATAACCGTCAGAGATGCATTATCAGCTGAATCCCATTAAACCATCCAGACGAAATGAATTTATTTAACGTTTAGTTTAAATAGAGTAGGGTTCATAATGTGATCAGTTCAGTCTGAAGTGTTAGGGTGTTACCTTCCCCTCCTGCAGGGGGCAGCAGAGCCAGCCCTGCAGAAACCTTATGTGTGAATGTTGATGTTTCTCCTGCTCCGGCTGAAGCCCAGAGGGCCGTTTTAGTTGAAACAAAGATGGCGCCTCACTCAGACCGCAGTACATGGAAGAATAACATCACGTTCTTCTGGTGTCGTTCTGACGTTGTTCTCATGTCGTTCTGATGTTGTTCTTGTGTTGTTCTAACGCTCTCGTATTGTTCTGATGTTCTCATGTTCTCATGTTCTCGTGTTGTTCCGACGTTCCCGTGTTCCGATGTTGTTCTCGTGTTGTTCTGGTATTGTTCTGACATTCCCTAATTGTCCTGACGTTCTCGCGTTGTTCTCGTGTTGTTCTGGCGTTCTCGTGTTTTACTCACGTTCTGGCGTTGTTCTCATGTTTTTCTGTTATTGTTCTGTTGTTCTCGTGTTGTTCTGTTCTGTGAATTGTCGCTATATAAATGAACTGAATTGAACGTTGTTCTCGTGTTGTTTTGATGTTCCCGTGTTCCGATGTTGTTCTCGTGTTGTTCTGGTATTGTTCTGACATTCCCTAATTGTCCTGACGTTCTCGCGTTGTTGTCGCGTTGTTCTGTTGTTGTTGTGTTTTTCTGACGTTGTTCTCATGTTGTTCTGACGTTCTCATGTTTTTCTGGTATTGTTCTGTCGTTCTCGTGTTGTTCTGTTCTGTGAATTGTCGCTATATAAATTAACTGAATTGAAAATAAACTGAATTGAATGACGTTCTCGTGTTGTTCTGATGTTCTCGTGTTCTGATGTTCTCGTGTTCTGATGTTCTGGTGTTGTTCTGATGTTCTGGTGTTGTTCTGATGTTCTGGTGTTGTTCTGATGTTCTGGTGTTGTTCTGATGTTCTCGTGTTGTTCTGATGTAGCAAATGTTAAAATGGTGGGGGGGGGTTCAGGCGGAGGACAGAGGCGGGGATCAAACGGTCCTGACTAAGCCATCATTATCAGAGGTGAGTGTTGGAGGCTGAATGGCCGGTCATTATCGGCGCCCTCTCTTTTCTCACCGTCTGTCGCCCTCTTGTCCTCCTCTCCTTCTCCCTCGCCGCTCTCCAACTGAGGAGGAGCAATTAGATGGAAATCGTTAGCGGAGTCCTTCGCCATCAGAGATCATTTGCTCCTCTCCTCTTTCTCCACCATAAGGATGATTAACTGATCACAAAAGTCTGATTGTAATATGGCTTTGA